TCCCTCCCTCTCTTTTCATGGGATCAATGGTGAGATTTAGGGCAGAGAGCTTCCAGAGCCTGCAGGACTACAATGGTGAACCACACACTCTATGAGGAATTCCTTTTCTCTCTGGCTATTTTCTTTCCTTGAAATTAGTGACTGCATGATTTTCTTCACTTTCTACATCCTCATAGGGAACTCAACAGCAAGTCTGAAGTACATTGTAGAATTCTCAGGACAGCCTAGCAAACACTGACCAATTTCTTTTCTTCATGTCTTGGCTTTATTGAGATGGGGTCTCACTATGTAGCCTTAGCTGTCTTGAACTCACTACATAGACATGGCTGGATCTGAACTCACACAGCTCTGCCTGCCTCTGTCTCCCAAATGCTGGAATAAAAAGCATGCACCACCAAGCCTGGCCTAGTGGCCAACTTTCTCCCAGAGCAGCCAGGCATGCTTCTGCCAGGGTGGCTGGTCCTCGGGGCTCCTCCCTCTGGTCTTAGGGCTTCCTTCACCATGTAGTGAGATTCCCGTCACTCTGCTCTGAGCTCGGGTCCTGATTCCTGGGTCTGACATCTCCCCTTTCTTGGTATATGGTCCTGGAGGACTGCATTCTCCAACAGTTGCTGTAAATGGCACACAGAGGTAAAGGTTTGGACTCTTTGACTGTCTGGTGATTTTAAATGACTGAAGCTGTTTGAGAGTTCTAGACTGAAAGTATCCTTGCTCACAGGCACTGCTTTACCGCTCTGGCCTCAGTGCTGCCACTGGGATTCTCACTCTCTCTGTGAGGTTTCTTCCTCTCTGGAAGCTGGTGGGAACACTCTGCATGTCTGGAAGCTGGTGGGAGCACTCTCCATGTCTGGAAGTTGGTGGGAGCACTCTCCATGTCTGGAAGCTGGTGGGAGCACTCTCCATGTCTGGAAGCTGGTGGGAGCACTCTCCATGTCTGGAAGTTGATGGGAGCACTCTCCATGTCTGGAAGCTGGTGGGAGCACTCTCCATGTCTGGAAGCTGGTGGGAGCACTCTCCATGTCTAGAAGCTGGTGGGAGCATTCTCCATGTCTAGAAGCTTGTGGGAGCACTCTCTGTGTCTGGAAGCTGGTGGGAGCACTCTCCGTGTCTGGAAGCTGGTGGGAGCACTCTCCATGTCTGGAAGTTGGTGGGAGCACTCTCCATGTCTGGAAGCTGGTGGGAGCACTCTCCATGTCTGGAAGCTGGTGGGAGCACTCTCCATGTCTAGAAGCTGGTGGGAGCATTCTCCATGTCTAGAAGCTTGTGGGAGCACTCTCTGTGTCTGGAAGCTGGTGGGAGCATTCTCCGTGTCTAGAAGCTTGTGGGAGCACTCTCTGTGTCTGGAAGCTGGTGGGAGCACTCTCCGTGTCTGGAAGCTGGTGGGAGCACTCTCCATGTCTGGAAGCTGGTGGGAGCACTCTCCATGTCTAGAAGTTGCCCTTCTCTTGATTTGTGTTTATTCTCATCTAGACTTGAGCACTTTCAGCCTTATAACTCATTTCTTACCTCTACAAAACTGTCTTTAATAATTAGTAATTCCTTTATCAATTCCCGCCTGCCCTGATTCCATTCCTCTTCTGGAGCTTGGTTATTACAATGTGAGATCTCCAAAGCAATTAGCTAATTTTCTTGATTTTTCTCTATTAGTGCTCATATCTATGCTTTTAAATTTTATTTTCTGAAAAATTTCTTCAATTGTTATTTTCAATTAAGTTTTTATTTCTAATATATTTTTATATTCTTAAGTTCTTTGTTGTTATAGAATGCTGCTTTTTATAGCTTCCTATACTTGTTTTATGGATGCAATATAGATTTCATTTCTCTGAAGATATTAACAACAATCTTTTAGGTTTTCTTCTTCTATAATCTGTTTCTTACAAGTGTATTTTTCTATTTGTTTTTACTTGTCTCCAATTTAAGTCCCTTCCTCAAATGACTACTAATATTTTGTTATCAGCTTTTACTTGAAAGTAAGACATTAAACAAAATTGTGTGCCCAGCTGGGCTTCCCAACAGTGATGTCACCGTAGAGTGGGGATGTAGCAGGAAAGTTGAAGCATGGCCATGGGACTCTAGTGTTGACCTTCTTGTTCTGTCACATTTCCTAGACAATCTCCTCCCAGCTCTTGTTGGGACCACAGGCATTTGATGGATAGCGTTCTTGGGTGAAAACTAACTGTCCGGAATGTTGGGTCTTATGCTCCCCTGCCTGTACAGCTAGGACAGCTGCTGCTTCACCTTCTCCCAGAAAGAGACCTGCAGCCCTGGTCCTCGGTGGGGAGGAAACATGGGGGGCTCTGCCTGCTTCTTCCACAGACTTCCAACCACCAGTGTCCAGCTCTACCATTCCTTGCAGAGGTACATGCAGGTGGCAGCTACCAAGTTCTGAGGAGGCATAAGATATATAACCTGTGCTTCTCCAGTCTCCTGCCACCAGCACGGGACTTGGCTCCCTCAGGTTTATGTGTTTACTACATGCCTGTCTGTACTCTGCACTTCAAATGGAGGCGGGTGTTATTTACTCTGGTTTTCTGTTCCTTAAAGGTTTGCCTTTCAAAACTCTTCTGTCATTTTGGTGGAATCCTCCTTTCAGGGGGACAGATGCTAAAGCATGACTGTTTCCATTGTCCATCTTTAGCCAAAATGATGATTAGCATTTACAACTTACACTTACCTATGCTTAAGTATAAATAACCATCCAGAGAAACACGCTCATATAGATTCATTCATCATATACTGGAAATACAGATTGTGACTAAAATCAACTCCAATAAATAAATATAAAACATGACTTTGCCCTCTAAGTTAAGAAGAAGAAAGTGGAGTAAAGACCATGTGGATATGTCTAAAATAACATGGGACTGTCATGTATGTATATACATGTTGTGTTGTTAGTGTGTTTTGAGGTGCCACCTTCTACAGCTTTTTGAAATATTAGAACGTGCTGGGGAGTTTGGCCAGGGGGGTATAATATTTCTCATATATAATATATGAGAAATATGTGAATATATGAATGAATGAAATATATGAATGAATGAGAGGACTCAAGTTTTTTCCTCAGTATTATAAAATACCTCAAAGAAAACATGAATAGCCACAGAATGTTTGAGGATTTTGAAGCTATACAAACAGTAATCTGTATATATTTGTTTTTTTAAATATCTTTTATTGTTAAGGAAATGGTCAAGTACAGAGGCCTTGCTTATTCTAAAGGCCTCCTGGTAAAAACTGAGACATCAAAACATAGGAAGAAAATGTTTTAAGACATGACAAAAAATGTCTTAAAATAATATTTAGCTGGAGAAAAGAAGACCCAAACATATCTATAAAACTGTCTTTTCTCAGACACGAAAATCACAACAAAGACCTTACAACAGAAGCAAAGCCCAGGTAAGTAGATAAAAATTTACAGGGCAGAAATATCACTCATGTTTTCAAATGTTTATAATCTAATGCACAAGATGCATCAAAACAAATACAGCCCTAACCTTACCACACATGCGTGCACACACGGAAAGGAAGTGAGCACGCTCAGCCACCAGAGACAGGCTGACGGAGATTTACACATCTCTACTCACAGTGACTCACTAATGACCGCTTTCACTATGAAAGAGAGACCTCATGAGCCTATAACCCAAGGCAGCAGCAGAGCGGCGGGCACTGAGATGAGCAATCAGCTGTGTCTCTGTGGGGTACTTCTCAAAACTCAGCTGTGGAAACCTTGTGACCATGGTGGACACACCTTCTGCACTTTAAGATATGCTGCTAAACATAAGATAGACAGATACAAATGTGATATAATTAAATGAAAAAAGGTAATCCCTGCCTCAGAGCCAGAGCTAACTAGATTTTAAATCCTGTTCTTTGCTCGCCCTGAGAGAAAACTTACCTCAACCTTACAAAGCTCAGGTTCCTTGTCTGTTACATGGAAATGGTAATTGTACAGAAAACAGTGAAACCTGCCTGGTGCCATACTGGCAAGAATGAAGTAAGATAATGTAGAGTAAGATAATGTAGAGCATTCAGACAATGTCCATCAAAGTATTCAACAGAGGTCAGCTCTCCTCAAGGTCAAACAGGGAAGGTGTTTTTAAAATACAGTTCTATGATGCCTCAATCCCAGCTGGAAAGAGAGATCCAGAAAAGGCATTCCAACGTGCCTGGAAACCCAACCCCCTTCTCTCCCATCCCACACCATCTAATCCACTTTCCTGAACAACAAAAGCTATTTCTTTTTGTTGTACCTCCTGTCCACTCAGTGAAGGCCTTTGCTTTGACGTCTAAATGTCAGGCCAAGTAACATAATCCCAGTAGTAAACATCTCCTCACAGACAGCAACATTCCTGGACACTGCATCTCTACGTGCTGCTCAACACCAAACAGACGTCTGCTCCAAGAAGGGATACACAAGCCTCAGGTGCCATTAAAGGACTGCATGCACATACCATGCCAGGCTCTACCAGACAACACCTTGGTAGATTAAACAATAAAGAACCAGTTCACAGGGCTGGAGAGATGGCTCAGCGGTTAAGAGCACTGCTTGTTCTTCCAGAGGTCCTGAGTTCAATTCCCAGCAACCACATGGTGGCTCACAACCATCTGTAATGGGATCTGATGCCCTCTTCTGGTGTGTCTGAAGACAGCTACAGTGTACTTGTCATATATATATATATAATAAATAAAATCTTTAAAAAAAAAAAAAAAAGAACCAGTTCACAGAGACTTTTATAGAGGAACAAGGAAAGAGTGATTGGGAAAAGAAGACATGATTAAATGATGTCATGACAGGAAGTGTAGTGTTTGCAGGCAGTGAACTGCGTAACAAGCCTGGGAGCTCTAACGCTCATTTCTTTTGCTGTTATTGGGTTTACTAAACTACTATCTTACACTAACTGCTCATAGGATGACTTTAGATAGGAAAAGCACTCCAAATAAAATGTACTAGGTTGAAGAGTGTCCCCAAAGTTTACAGCTACTCAGAACCAGTGCATGTGGCCTTATTTGGAAACAGACTTTGAAGTCACCATTAAGCTCAGATGGTTCATTACAATAAAACTTAAGTCCAACAGCTGGCATCTTTCTCAGGCAAGAGACACAGACACACACGTGACATGTGACAAAGGAAGCAGAGAAGAAGCTACAGAGCTACAAGCCGAGGAACACTAACAACTGGGTAGCCAGCAGAAGCTGGCAGAAGGCCAGGAAGGAGTCTTCCTTCTCTGCATCCTTGAGAATAGCTATGTCCTGCAACAACACAGAAGGCTGCTGTGGCTTGTAGTCCCCACATGACACCTCTTGGCTCTAGCAGCCAAGAATGACAATGACAATGAATACAGCATGCAGATAAAAGCACTTTGTACTCTCAGTATTTTCTATGTTCCTTCACTAACTAGGTATTTCCTGAGCACCTGCTGCACACAGGGCACACTGTTCTGGAGTTAAACTGTATGTACGTGTGTTCTCTCAGACATACTTCACTTTGACCATAAGCTCTACAACCTCAACACTAATAATAAATATCTCAGTAGTCTAAAATAATTCTAAACTCTAATACTCTAAATCACAAACTCATTGTCTGCATGAAGTCCTGTATTCTCATAAAGCTAGTGAGGTCTAACGGCTGCCTACCTTTCGTTTGGCAAGCTTTTATCTGAGTTCATTCATGGGAAACTAAACTATCGAAACACACTGAGGTGCTTTTACAACTGGCCAGGTTTAAACTGATTTTTCTTCTCCCCACATTTGTTCTGTTGTAATTCATCCTATTTATTTCCTATTCATTTCTACTGTTTCTATCTATGCTATTCTATTCCATTCATTTTCTAAGAAACATACCTTAAAGCCTATGACTCTAAGAATTTAAAGTTCTTATTCTTTTCGAAGGTTGATATAAACTTAGGTTGAGAAAGAGTATTGCTGAAATGGTAAGGAGGAATATTTAATCATTATGCAAATTAATCAAAGTATTTATCACTCAGCTAAAGGTCTAACCTTTTAATTCATAAATAATAAAATGGAGATACGAAATTGTCTTGGGAACAGATTTTTCCTTATTCAGACTTACTGAACAACCACACACAAGCAGGGGCTGGAAAATGAGGTTCTGTTTTTGCGTTCCCCATAAACTCTAACATGATCCAAGTCTCCTTACTAATAGGATAATCGAGTGTAAGCCGGCTTTCCTTATGTCTCAGCACTAATGGATGTCTGTCAATGTCTAAGGATACTAGCTGATACTGACAATACTTTTATTTAAAGTCTGAGTTGACGGGCACTAACAAAACAAACCAGTAAGTGTTAAAATCTTAGTAGAACATGACCTCAATACAATGTCAAGTGATAGGAGAATATCATATCACCTTAAAAACCAGAATTGCTTTTCATTTTAGTTTCAAAGGCATAGTCGGTTTAGCTACTCACACTATAAAGGTCTCTTGTTTCTTCTTTCATTTTAGGGATCTCAAGAAGCAGGGCCCAGACTTCACCTCGGAGCTGGAGTGGAATTCCTTTGTAAATTCGTCGATGAAACTGTTAAAACAAAAGAAACTAGCCAAGGTTAAAAAGTAACAGAAGCTTGGCCATCCCTTCCACTGAGCCACTCAGTATCTGTTGAGGCTTTTTCAGATATTCATGATCATTTTTAAAATGAATTTTGATTAGTTAATTCAATTAGATTCTGTCACTCACTTCTATGTTCTTAGATCCTAAAGGCAAAACATAATCACAGAAGGAAAAAATAAAGAACTACCAAAAGAAAACAGGAGGAAAAAAAAAAAAAGAAAAGTCAGGAGTCCCTGGTAAATCGGTATGCTTGACTGTTAAAAAAGTGCCCCGTAGGGTTATAAGGTCAGAGCCGATACTACTTGGTGAACTGAAAAAATCTTATTTATATATTTCTTTGTTATACACTACCTTCCCCCATACAGGTAGAAGGTAAGCCAAATACCTTTGAGGTAGCCAAGGCATTTTAAAAATAAGCTTGCTTGTGTGTGTGTGTGTGTGTGTGTTTGGGAGAGGGTGGGTACCTGTGTACAGAACCATCTTACACATGCGTAAGCAAATGCCAAATGATACCGAGGGTGTTATTCAAAATCCCGAGGTACTGTTTACTTTCATCTTTTGAAGCAAGGCCTCTGATGGACAGGTACTTGCCAGGTAGGCTAGGCTGACTGGCCAGTAAGCCCCAGGGATCCACCTCACCTTACCTCCCCAGGACTGACTATAAGCTTGAACCACCACAGCCACCACCTTCGAGTAATATCATCAGTGGTTTGACTGTGATCTGTCTACTTGTACCATCCTATGAGTGCAACAAGGTTTTGGATTCTATAGCACTGTTAATTTTAATACTCCGTATGAAGAATGCCGAGTCTATAACAAATGCCTAAGGAAGAGGAAATCAGGTTGTCACTGTTAAAGTAGGAGGAAAAAAAAACAAGAAAACTCCAGAAAGAAATAAAAAAAAAAGCCCAATGGTCAACAGGATATCCAGGGCTGGATGCTCAAAAGAAGCTGACACATTGTCAATGTCCTCACCCACGGAACCAAGTAACCCTGGTTCTCCATTTACTATACATAAGCACTCACTATACATAGAAACCTTTACTAGTTGCTATATATGTATGCCATTTAATTATCCCAACACCTCAACTGTACATATATGGAAAGTAAGTCATAAAGAAGATAAATAATTAGCCCAGTGATAAGCCTAAAATGTTGGTAACTATTTAAAAGAAGGAAGAGCCTATGTAAAAGCCCAGTGCAGTAATATGTGCCTTCAATCCCAGTGCTAGGAAGGCAGACAGGAGGAGGGTTGCTGGCTACCCACTCTAGCTACGTTGATTGGCTCCAGGCCAGTGGTAGAGACCCTGTAACCACAATTTGGTGAGGGCTGGGGCTGGAGCTCAGTGAAGAACCGTGGCCTAGCACACATAAAGCTCTAGGTTAAATTTCTAGTTTGATCAAAACAAATGACATAAGTCAAGCCTTGACTTGAGGCTGGCTACCTTGACAATGGGAAGGTGGCTCTGTGGGGAAGAGCCCTGGATGTACAAACATGAGGACCCAAGTTCAAATCTCTAGCATCCATGGAACAGGCTGACTGTGGGAGCTCATTGTTCAGCCAGCCTAGCTGAAATGGCAAATTCAGTGCTATAGACAGAGCAAACCAGCAGAGTCTTAACCTCATTTCCCAGCATGCAATGCACATCCGCATGTACAACACTCTGTTATACACAGGCACTAAGGCCCAGGAGACTGAGGACAATACTGTCAATCTCTGCCCTCTCCCACAGCATATCCACACACAAATAAATATTATGGGATCTCTCTCTCTCTCTCTCTCTCTCTCTCTCTCTCTCTCTCTCTCTCT